AGAGTAGAATAGAGTAGAATAGAGTGTTGTAGAGTAGAGTGTTGTAGAGTAGAGTAGAGTAGCTTAGCGTAGAGTGTCGTAGAATGTCGTAGAGGGTCGTAGAGTGTCGTCGTAGAGTAGAGTGTCGTAGAGTGTTTTGGAGTAGAGTGACGTGTAGTAGAGCAGAGTAGAGTAGAGCGGGAAGAGTGGACTAGAGTAGAGTAGAATAAAATAGAGTAGAGTACAGTAAAGTAGAGTAGAGTAGACTGAAGTTTTGGAGAGTGTCGTAGAGCGTCGTAAAGTGTCATAGAGTACAAAAGAGTGTCGTAGAGTGTGGTAGAGTAGAGTAGAGTACTCGTAAAGTATCGTAGAGTAGATTGTCGTAGAGTAGACTGTCGTAGAGTAGAGTAGAGTAGAGTATCGCAGAGTAGAGTGAAAAAGGGTAGAGTGTCGTAGAGTATCATAGAGTAGAGTTGAGTGTCGTAGAGAAGATTAGAGTAGAGTAGAGTGTTATTGAGTGTCATAGAGTAAAGTAAAGTGTCGTGGAGTGTCATCGAGTAGAGTAGAGGGAGTACATTACAATGTTCTAGAGTAGAGTGGAGTGTCGGAGAGTAGAGTAGATTGTCGTAAAGTAGAATAGAGTACAGTGTCCTACAGTGTCGTAGAGAAGAATAGTGTTGTAGAGTAGAGTAGAATGTCCTACAGTGTCGTAGAGTATAATTGAGTGTTGTAGAGTAGAGTGGAGTGTCGTAGTGTAAAGTGCCATAGAGTGTTGCAGAGTGTCGTAGAGTGGTGTGGAGTGGCGTAGAATGTGGTAGAGTGTTGTAGAGTGTCTTAGAGTAAAGAAGAGTGTAGTAAAGTAGAGTAGAGTAGGGTAGAGTAAAGTAGAGTGGAGTACAATAGAGTAGAGTAGTGTAGAGTAAAGTGTCATATAATGTCGTAGAGTGGAGTATAGAAGAGTAGAGTGTCGTAGAGTGTCGTAGAGTTTTGTAGAGTGTCATAGAGTACAAAAGAGTGTCGTGGAGTGGCGCATAGTAGAGTAGAGTCGAGTAGAGTGGAGTCGAGTAGAGTATTGTAGAGTAGAGTAGAGTAGAGTACAGTAGAGTAGAGTGTCATAGAGTGGAATAGAGCAGAGTAGAATGTCCTAAAGTGTTGTTGAGTACAGTAGAATGTCGTAGAGTAGAGTAGAGTGTCCTACAGAGTCGTAAAGTAGAATAGAGTGTTGTAGAGTAGAGTAGAAAGCCCTACAGTGTCGTAGAGTAGACTAGTAGAGTACAGTGTTGTAGAGTGTCTTAGAATAGAGTAGAGTAGAGTAGAGTAGAGTATAGTAGAGTGGAGTGGAGTAGAGCGGAGTAGAGCGGAGTAGAACGGAGTAGAGCGGAGTAGAGTAGAGTAGAGTAGAGTAGAGTAGAGAAAAGTCGAGTAGAGTAGAGTAGAGTAGAATGTCGTAGAGGGTCGTAGAGTGAGGAGTAGAGTAGAGTAGAGTAGAGTAGAGTAGA